CACTCGGGGTATATGGATAATAGGGGTGATGATATTCGTGGCGATTCATCTTTGTCAATACACTGTCAACAGTTGTTTGTCAATACACCTGATCGAAAGTGGATACACGTTCATTCTATCGTGACAGGGTTTTGGTCACTTAGATCATTCTGCACATGGCTGATGCCGATGAAAAGATTAACATAAACCCCGTAGCAGTTTGTGCCTAACCGCTTTGAGAGCGATCCGTTACCTTTAAGAATCACACACACACAGTCAAATCAAAACGTGATAAATGCCCCCTCGTGTATTTAGGTCAAGACCGACTAACAATCAGTCAAATTGATTGACACAACATAAATTTAGCCCCGAGCACTAGCTCATTCAATCTGCACGACAGCCGATTAATGGTCGATGAAAGATACCAGCTAACACACCAATGGGGGTTAAAAGATTAGTATTTTGGCATATCGATTTTTTATAATTTGATCGGAACCTACCATAAGCCACATTGAAAGTCTTGATAGCAGCACCGGCAGCCTGTTCCAGTTGTAGAATATTCAATCCGGAATCTAACGTTTTGGGGTTCACAATGACTTCCATTTGCAACGTGTTTGCTTTAACTGCCTCGTACATGGCAGGCAAGTTTATCCACAGATTGTTCGTATTGAAAATACGGAACGTTCTGACGCTGGCAAACTCGTCCACATGATCTTTGGGAACCTGAAACAAATTTTGGTTGAATGGATTCGTAAAGATTGGTCAGTGTTCGATTAGGAAGTGATGTTATTTTCAGTGAACTCGATTACTGAAAGGCGTGTTTTTCTGATTTAAGAAAATCAAATGAAAAAGAAAGTAAAAACGATCAACACTGTCAGGGGCATTTGAACACTGTCTCCCTGGGTTGCGTTTGCTGTACACAAGTGACAAGGCGAAAGGATTTCCAAAAAAGCAGACTAATCACTAAAGTGGAGATTATGTTGAAACGGTTCGCTTGATTTTAGTTTAAATAATCAATAATTCTGCACCTGCTATGCTTGTTTCTGTCTAACAGTTCCATTTCTTATCCGGCAAATGTGAAGTCGATCGTTCTTTGTCATGTCTTTGAAAATCCGATAAAATTTATTTCAATTTTTTTCACTTCGCAATAGAATTTTAAAGATCAAACTAAACAAAAACACTGTGGTGAGACAAATCTTTGTCTGGTTTAATCGCAACTTCACAGGCATAAGTGTTAGTGCATCATTCTTCTCCGGGGGATCCCAACCTCTGGAGAGTTCATTTTGAGCCCTACATGATCGGTTTATTTAGTTTACGAGATGACTGTGTATGAAGATCGATAAACAGCACCGGACAACCGTTCCACATTTGTAGTTACTTCTCAATAATGTGTTCTATTTGTAAATTTCTGTCATATCTGGAACTGCAAAACTTGGGGTTGCGAGCCAAAACCCCGTTACTCTCGAGCTACCAAGTCACCGGCCAACACCCGGTGTCGTTAATTAGACAAGATCTTTTTGAGTCCGCTTTAGTTATTTGCTTTTCATATCCACTCTGTACCCCAATCCCCCATATGATATTATTGTTGTTGCATTGGCATCATGCTTGTTCACAAGCCGATGATGTACACATATAATTCGTGATAAGTAGTATATAGTAGTATTCATACCCAGGAAGTGTATTTTTCGTCAAAATAACCTCGTTTGCAACACCGGGTAAATGTGTGTGGGTACAGGTATATGAATAAAGTAAAAAAGATTACTGGATACACATACATGACGAGCAGCAAGAACTGTGCAACCGGTCGTATGCACCCAGAGATATTTTTTAATCAGCAAATACAACTTATTGAAAAATATTTCACAAAGACGCTGAAGTCACCTTTGTTGCGTCAGTAGCATCTAACCCACCCTACACAACAGTGAATCAAAGTATTGATTCATCGATG